AGTGATGGGCCTACAGTCAAGAAGACTCATCTTCCTGAGTTCAAATCTGTCCTCAGATACTTACTAGTTGTGTGACCCTAGGCAAGTCACTTAATCCTGTTTGCCTCAGTTTCCTCATCTGTAAAATGAGCTGAAGAAGGAAATGGTAAACCACTCTAGTATCCTTGCCAAGAAAATCCAAAATGGGATCACAGAAAGTTAAGACATGGCTGAACACTTGAACATCCTCGTTAGGAAGTTTTTCCTTTCATTAATGACACATTTTCTTCTTACCTATTGCCCTAGTTATAAAACAACAAATAAAACAACAGCATGTTTCTTGTTGATTTTTTTTATTTTGGAAAATACAGTTATTTTCATTATTTAAAACATGCTATTTATGTTAGCATGCAATATGTTTGTTATTGTTCATCTAAATAAATTAATAAATACATATTTCAAAAATTGACCTATTTTAATTTCTGAAATGGTGAATATTAGTAGATATAGCCCGCATAAACAAAAACTCTTTGGGGTCCTCAATAATTTTTAAGATTATAAGGGAGTCTGGAAACTTTTTAGTTTCCAGAGAATGACAATGACTGGTCTAGAGTCTCTAGAGAGTCTTCTGCGGCTCTGAGAGGTTAAGTATCTTTCCCAGGGTCACACAACCAGTATGTGTGACAGGAAGGTTTGAACCTAGGCTTTCTCATTACAGGAAAGATACCTTTCTTCACCTTTAAATAAGATTGGAAAATATAAACCACAGTGGGCTTTTTTTTATAGATCCTCAATACTGAATGATATGATAACAGGTATATCATTACTAGGCCTGGTAATTGTCCCTGGGGTTAATAAAAAATTTCCAAGCTATCTCAAACATTTTTTAGAATATCTATTTTTGGTCTCTACCTTGTTCTCTATTCATGTCAAGCCAAGCAACTACTAAGTGCTGAATCTAAAAGTGGATTTAAGGTTCTCCATTCCTTTTTAATTTAATTATTCAAGGGCAGAAATGGGATAGTAGGAATTACAGTTATCCAAGAGCCCCCAACTGTAAACAAATATGATTCACACTCAGTGAACCTTTATCTGCTCACTTACTCTTCGAGCGGCAAAGCCCTGTGTTAAGCTGTTCCCAAAATGCTTAATTCAAGGTTCACAGGATCTTAGATCCTGTACCTTCTGGTACATTTTGTACCAAAGAGCAGCAGATGCGTCCAATCCCCTAAACTAGTATTTTTACACTCCAGCAAAGGTCAGACTATCTCGGGTGCGAGTTAGTGAGAATATATTCTGTTAACCAGTGGAATTTCTTCTTCCAATATGGGTGGGATACCTAATGTGGAGATTTTTCTTATTATTGCTTAATGGGCACAGGGACTAGACCCGGAGGGGGCCCTCATTACAACTTATTTTTTAGAGGTCTCTAAAACACAGAGTGTTTAAGTGACTTATCTGGGGTCACACAGAAGTGGGACTTGAGCTTGGGTCTTCTTGGTTCTCAGAAGCGTTACCTTGTATTGCCTCTCTTTCTCTTGGAACCGCCATAATCAAACAAGACCACCATCACTTCTGGGAAAGGGTATGTCAGTTAACTTCTCTATGGCCCGCTCTATCCCTGCGAATTTCCCAAAACAAAACCCCCTGACCTGGGTACTGCTCCCCTGCATGTGCTTCCCCAACCGTGCCTCCCACTAGAACGTAAGCTTCTTGAGAGCAGACTGACTCATCTTTATATTTGTATTCCTTGCACTCAGAGCAATGCTAGACACATAGCATGTACTTAATAAATGCTTTTCATGCATTCATCCCCAAACTGTTCTGAGTATCTTTCAAAATGAGTTTCATTGTATATAAGGTTTTCATTATTATAAGAAGGATTTCATGACCGTTTTGTCCATGTTCATATTACCCCTGGTAACAGGGGGAGAACTGAGATAGGAGAATAGCCTTATGGACCATCCCTTATCCCCAACTCCACATGATTTCTCTTTTTCCTTTGACAATCTCCGATTCTTGATTTCTTTCTCCTTACATGAAGTGTGTGTGGAGGGAGAGACTCTTACAAATATGGAGAACTAAAGGACAGTGGGAAGGGGAGGAGGAAAGTCACAATTCCATTTATCACCTGCTGCCACATGGAGTAATTCTCCCCTCCCCTTTCACACAGCCAGAGAGAGGCAACACCTCCAGCAAACATCACATTCCAGGGTGCCCCATCATCACACCATGAGCAGGCCAACATCTCTAACCGCTTACTCAAGCATCAAAGCTTCTGTCTTCACACAGCCTCACCTCCAGGAAGATGTGCACAAAAACTCTGCTCACATCCCCATTTTTCAGGGCTAAGGAAGTATGTTTTAGTTTCTTAAAATAATTATAATAAAAACTCAAGGGTCAAGTTTCATTATTCTGAATTCTCCCCTTTCAAAGTCTCTCTCTTATGAGATCACAGCTAGGGAAGGGAAACCTGACACACCCAGAGTGTGAGAATTGATAATCTGATACGCTAAACCTTTGGCAGTTTCAACCTCTCCAAAAAACTTTCCTTTCATGGAAGGAAAATGGCTCCCAATCTGTTTCTTTGCAGTTGAACGGATGCCACTAGCTATCTCCAGAACCAAAGTTATTAACCTGGGGTCTGTGACATTATTTTTTAAAAACTATTTTGATAACTATTTTAATATACTTGCTTTCCTTTGTAATCCCATGTATTTTATTTTATACATTTAAAAATACAATCCTAAGAAGGGGTTTGTAGATTTCACCAAACTGCCAAAGGGGTCCATGATACAAAAATGGCTAAGAATTTTTGGACTAGAGATGTCACAAAACTCTCAAAATCAAAGTAACTGAAATTCATTTGTATTTTAAACTAAATCAAATAAACAGATCCATAAATAGAAATCCCAACACCTGGAGTAAATTCTTTGAGGACGAAGTAGGGAGTATTAAAGGAGCAACTGCATTGGGGCAATGACAACCTGGTGTCTGCCTAGGTTGGGCAGGCAGAGGGGTCCCATGAGAGGCCTGGTGCCATGCAGGCAGGAAAGAGGAGGAAGGTACTAGCCCCGGGGGTGGGGAGTCTGTGGCCTCAAGGTCACATGTGGCCTTCTAGGTTCTCAAGTGTGGCCTTCTGAGTACAAATTTTATAGACCAAATCCTTTTATTAAGCAGATTTGTTCTATGAAGTCTGGATTCAGTCAAAGTGCTGCACTTGAGGACCTAGAGGGTCACAAGTGGCCACGAGGCCATAGGTTCCTCACCCCAGGACTAGCCTATCAAGACTACAGACCTGTTTACTGCATTGTAGTCCAGGGCTTGCAACCACTCCAGTATCTCTGACAAGAAAACCTCAAATGAGGTCATGAAGAGTTGGACACGAAACAACTCAACAACAATAACCTCCAATTCCGGATATGGTGCCGTTGCCACCACACCTTTATGCCTCTCTGTAAACGACAACTTCTGGCATCATTCAATTGTTCATTCAACAATTATCTAGCTGAGTTCCTACTATATTCAAAGCATTGTTCTAGGAACTGTGAAGAATAAAAACAATGTAACATATGGTATTTGTCCTTGAATTTATAATCCAGTAGGGGGTTTGACTTTCTAAGACAGAGTAATACAATGGAATGAGAAATGGATCTAGAGTGGGGACTGGGTCTGCCATACGATATTGCGTTTAATTCTGTCAAATAAGAGGGTTTAACGAGAAGACTGCTGAGGTCCCTTCCAGTTCTAAATCTATGATCCTATGAACCCAGCCCATGTTGGCACCCCAGAGCTAAGCCCTGCTCACTCTTGCTAGTTACAGCTCCAGAATGGTTCCCTATTGATGCTTGGATCAGCTTTTCTAGTTAGCATTTAAAGCCCTTCCCAACCTGGCCTGAACTTCCCTTTTCAACCTTATTACTACTCCCCTCTCCCACACTCCAGGGTCCAGCCAAACTGGCCTCCTTGTTAAACCTCTCTCACAGTGCGCCACATGCAATCATCACGCCCTTGCGCCGGCTGTCCCCTCAACCCAGAATGCGCTCCTCCTCACCACCCCCTCTAAGAATCCGTCCTTTCTTTCAGAACTCTGCTCAAGCTCTATCTCCTATAGGAAGCTTTTCCTAAATCTGCTCCATCCTCATCCTCCGTGCCCTTTCACTAAAAAAATGTACCATCTTTTTATTTTGGACGCTTTTGGAGTATACTTAATTATACTCGTGCCTTTTTTCCTAAAGGAAGGAAGACTTTCCAAGCCTGTCTTAATTCTAGTGCGTTCCCTCTGTTGATTTTTTTCCAATTTATCCTGTATGTATATACATATATATGTATATATGTGTGTGTATATATGTATATATACATATATATAGCTCGTTTGTACATATTTGTTTGTTTGCAGTCCCTTCCATGATCAGATTTCGAGCTCTTTGAGGGGAGGGGCCATCTTTTGCCTTTTTTTTTTTAATCCCCAGCGCAAACACAGTGCCTGGGGCACGATAGGCTCTTAATACACGTTTACTGATTGATTGACGGGTAGTATAAAACCTTTTGAGGGCAGGGATCTCAGTCTAAAACTTAAAACTTAAGTGAATGTTGAATATGACTTTGTTTTAAAATTAAAACAACAACAGTCATATCCTCATGCCTCTACGTGTTGAGTAAGCGCTTAATAAATATTGATTGATTGACTGATTGATTCATTGTCTTGTCCAAGTCGGAAATTAGGGATTCTATGAAATTGTGCCTCTTACAAATTCCAAAATGCTTAGGAGCCATTAGCCAAGGGCTAACAAGAATTTCTTTCTCAAGGGACTGTTCACCCCGGAGGGAGAATAGAGGGGTGAGGTGGAGATGCCATTCCAAGTCAAGATTAGCAAGCTCCTACTGAATTCAAGGATAGGAAATTGAAAGAATTCAAACCAAGGCCGGCGGGGCCCCAGCTCCTCCCCTTGCTTAATATCCATGACCCTGGCCCCGCCCCTTGCCATCCTCTGATTAAACTGCTCCCCAGCAAAGGCGGCTCGGTGCTCGGTGGAAGCTGCTGCGCTGGTGCTCACAGGTGCTTTCCAGGATGAGGGTGTCCGGCCTGGGATCCTCCTCTTCGCTGGTTGCCTTCGCGTCCTTGCTTCTTATCTGGCCCAGCCAAGTCGCAGCAGCCAAGGAGCTAAAGTTCGCCTTATTAGTGAGTAGACTTGCCTCCCCATTGCTTTATCTCACACCTTTGTTCTCCATGGGAGGGAGGGCAGGTGGGACGCGGCGTTACGTTTCATCTCTCCCTTGCACTGCCCCTGGGACACCCCAACTGCCCACGTTGCACTGCCAATTTACCGCTAAAGTCAATGAGCAAGTTCCGCAAGTTTCTGCATGAAGGCCAAAACAAGTCTCGACACACCCGCAAACAGAAAGGTTTCTTCGATTCCCCTCCCCCAACTTTGCCCCCTCTTTGTTCCCCACCTCCCCTTTGCATCAAACCCAGGGGCCTCCTGGCATGTCACCTTTGACTACAGCGATTGGGTCTGAGAAGCAGCCTTGTGGGGAGGCGGGAAAGCAGCAACCTAACTTCAGGGCAGAGGCTGGGGCCAAGCTACTGCTCAGCTCAAAGCCCCGACTGGCTGAATTGAGGGGCCAGGCCCGCTCCGGTAGCAGGGGGCAGTCCACAAACAAAGACCCATTTGGAATTCACCATCGAACCTTGAAACTGTGGTTCAAGGATGCCACAGGGATGTCTTTGCCTTTGGAATAATTCACTTATTTTCCTTCGTGATGCATGTGAAAATATAAGGAAAATGAGTCATGGAATGAAAGGGTATAGAAAATATATTACTTAAGGTATAAAGGTTTATATAGAGAGGGGAAAGGAAGAGTGGCAGATACAGGGGAAATCTTTCTTTTCATGTGGATCCTAATATAATCTCTCCTCTCCTTTCTTCCTCCCTTCCTTTTCCCTACCTATCCTAATCACTTTTTTCTCCTTATGCTTCCTCTTCTCCTTTTCTCTCCCTCTCCCCTCCCCCTTCTCTCAGAAACACAGAACACTTACAGCTGGAAGGAGCTTCTGTTTGCTAGCTACTTATTTTCTCCTCTCTTTCTCCCTTTTTGATCTTCTTTCTTCTCCTCCTTCTCCCTCTTCACTCCACTCCTTTACTTTCTTCTCTCTTTATATCTCCTTTCTTGTTTTCATTTCCCCTCCTCTCTTCTGCCTCCACTCTTCTCTCTTTTCCTTCTTCTCTCCTCTTTTCCTCTCCTCTCTTCTCTTTCCTACCTCCTCTTCTCTCCTTTTCTCTCTTCTCGTACCTGTCCTCACCTTCTCCCTTCACCTGGCCTCTCTCTGTGTTCCCTGTTTTGATACATGACAATCTTTTAATGACATCTCTCTTTCTGTAAATGCTCCTTTTAAATGAGTTTTCTCATTTAAAGGAGCCAAAAGATTTCATTTTACTTACAGTGAAGCTCCTATTTTCTCACCTCAGTAGATCCATGGTTCACTTCCTTCTGTACTGTGACATAGCCAGCTAGAGGGCACATTTTGGTACAAAGATCATTTCTGTAAATCTTGCTGCCTGTTTCAGTAAGCCTCCACTAGGCCATGAGTTAACAATGTACACAGAGGCCAAAGTTCAAGTGTTCAGACACATGATTTATACTGAAAAGCAACTGCCAGGTTTCCATTCTGTAAAGCTCTCTGATGCTGACTACCTTTTCAGGGGTATGATATATGCAAATTGGACTTTTTATTTAAAGCCTTCAAGTTCTTTAATTATAGTACATCCTCAGGTCGGCATTTGTATGGCACATTTAAAAAATGTTTTGTTCAGAGAAGGGCCATATTTGTTAAGATTTCACAGTACTCACATCACCAAGTGCATGGAATCTGCTGCTTATCTGAGAAGTTACAGTCAACTCTTAGTTAACTGTGTGTGGATTCTCCAGTTTGTGAATTATTTGCAGTAAATTTCTTAGCCCAGACTGTTTCCCCCTTATTTTTAACTTAGGTTAAGGTACTTTTCCCCATTGATCTATGTGGATACATGTTCCAGAAATGGAATATGTAAATGTTACACAGATATTCAAATGGATGGCTGATCTCCTCAATATGCATATTCCTCCAATAATGATGATTGATGCCTATGTATGACTGCACATCCTGGATGGCTTTTAGCTGTTGCCTTACCTAAGTTTGCCATAGGACGCCCATCCAACGTGTTGGAGGGAGTTGGCCTGACCTGGCAAGGGTACTACTGTTGGAACACAAAGACTAGCCATGGGGTTTTTCTTACTCTTGCATATGACCAACCTCTCTTCTTTTTCCAGTCTTTTAAAATGATATCTTCCTTTTATTACTCCACTTCTCCTTAGAAATTCCTTTTCTTTAATGTTTTGCAACCTGCTTATGCCCATGCTATGCCACTCTGTTGCCCTTTGGGTAATTTCAATTTGGATAAATATCTACGCAAAATCATTGGGTGAGGGTAGTAGATTTCTCTTCTTAATTTTTGACTATGCTAACAAAAAGATGCCCCTGTTTGAATGTGACGTGGTGCTGATTATATATCCACCACACCCTGAAACACTGATGTGACTCTTGGATGAGATTCATAATGATTCAATGGAGCTTGATCTAACACAAGAAAAACCAAGTAAATGAAGAACGCTATTGTACAGACTGTGATGTGCAACTAGGAGGATGGACAGCCTATATTACTCATACATGTGGATAGATACATAGATACAGAGAGATGTATAAAAATATCTTAGATGCTGCAAATAGAGAATGAGCTGGGTCTGAAATTGAACAGGAGGAGAATGTCCTGGATTTTTTGCAAAGTTCTCTTAATGATGCCACATTGCTCCCTAAAACAAAGGTCCACCTTTTCAATACCAATTTCTCTCTGTGCTGTTGTTATGACTACAAGTCATGCAACACTGCAGTCTCCAAAGAACAGAAATGGAGGTGAGCCAAGAAAAATAAGTCTGGGCCACTTCTTTGGAGGTGCCTACTCTTGCTAGGAAGAACAGAGAAGCTTTCTCAGACCTGGTTTTAATGTTGTGGCCAGAGTCTTCACATTCTCTGTAAAATATTTCCATATTATCCCAATGTGGTTCTAAGACAGCAAATCAAGCTGATGAACTAAGATGTATGCTTTAGGTTTAAGTTAGACCAGATAACTTCCGAGGTCTGTTGCAACTCTTAAGATTTTATAATTTATTCAGTTCTTCAATCTTGTTAGTGCAGAATTTCCATTTAAGGCACTCTTTGACCACAATACCCTCAGGATCCAACAAATCCACAAAACCTCTTGACCAGGTTTAATATACTTATATAAAGTAGTTGGGCAAACCCTAATGATTCCAAGTCAAGAAGCAGTTTCCAGAGGTAGTGGATACCTGCCATTGTCTCCCTGTTCCGGGGGGAAAAAAAACCCAAAAAACAAAAGCGCCCCCATTGGTGATGGTCCCTAAAAACAGCCCAGTCTTGCTCTGATCCACTTCATTTCTCCATATTTTATTAGCTGACAAGAAAGAACCCAAAATTGCTTCCAAGATGACTTGCCTGGTTAACTGAACAACTATTGGACCATTAGGAATAAAAATGGAAGCTTTCTCTGCTTTCAGATAACATCTAGATTATTAGCAATTATTCTTGGTTGCTTTGATAATAAATTGAATTATAACACAATAGCAATTTAAAGGGAGTTATGGAGAAGAGAGCAAGGGATTATTAATGAGGAATCAACACTACTTTAGGCTAATCAAGCAATTTTTGCATACCACCATAAGACTGATCAGGGCTTTTGTCTCTAATCCAGAGATATATAAAGTGGCCACGTGAAGCACTCAGTATTTGAAATTTTAGGCAAGGTTCATTGCAAGGATCTACAGGACTCAGAGATATTGCATCTGGGTTATATGGGACCAGGAGTCCCTGACTCTTGGGGTATGGGGTGTCATTCTTACAGTAGAGGACAGTAACCCAGAGCTGAGTAACCTACATTCTTTGGGATTGAGATGCTTTGTTCAGGGAGGTATTAACAGAAAAACCCAATATGGACACTACTTAGTCTGGGAACTCACACTTAAAGCACTATATAAATGCTCATTATATGGCAACTAGAAGACACAGTGTATATAATACTGGACTTGAAATCAGAAAGACTGAGTTCAAATACTGCCTCAGTGTAATGAAAAGTGCTTTACAAACCTCTAAAGCACTATATAAATGCTAATTATCATTACACTTGTAAAATATCCAATCAAAATTCAGCTTCATCATTATCCATTTCAGCCACTCTCAGCCCTGTTTGGGGCAGAAGACAAGTCATCCTAACTGATTTCTGCCTTCACAGAATGATCATCAACTACCCAGATTATTTTTGGCAAGCCATGGAGCATCTGGCCTCATCTTTCACATGTGCAGGGTGGAGTAAGAGGTCTCTTCCAGCTACAGGTCTATAATACTCTAATCCTGTGTAATAATAGCTAATAATAACAATAACTAACATTTATATAACACTGACTGTGTGCCAGGCATTGTGCTAAGCGCTTTGGTTTTCATTTTATTGTCTTTGCTGAAATACATTCTGTCTCCTTCATTCTAGTTTATATATAAACTTCTTAAGGCCTCCAATTTTTCTCCAGTTTTGATAAAATTGCCTACCTTATTCTGAATCTGATTTCTTCTGCATCCAGTCTAATTTCTTTAGGCTCTGGGCCTCTGAGGTAGGGGACCACTTGTGTGGCTATTTCATTTCTAGCCAAGCTATAGGGCAAAAGAAGCTATTTTGCTATTCAAATTAATTCAGTAAGCCCCTACTATGTGCCAGTAGGGGCAGCAATATGGTGCAATGGATAAAGCAAAAGGCCTGGAGGCAGGAAGACCTGAGTTCAAATTTGACCTCAAACACTTAGGAGCTGTGTGGACCTGGGCAAGTTATTTAATGCCTCTTTGCTTCAGTTTCCTCATCTGTAAAATGGGATAAAATGTCACTTACCTTGCAGGGTTGCTGTGAGGATCAAATTAAATAATTGTAAAATGCTAAGCACAGTGCCTGGCACATAGTAAGCACTATATAAATGTTAGCTATTACTAGCACTAGGCCCCATACCAGGTGCTAGAGTGTAAAGATGAAAAAGAATCACTCTTTTCTCTGAAAGAACTTGTACTCTGCCCAGACAGACAACATG